AAAGAAGAAGGAAAAAAATAATTGGCCGGGCGAGGAGCACAAGGCCGCTCGCCGGAAACGAAATTCAAGAGTTAATGCGTTTAAGATCGTAACGGCTCTGATACCATGTGAAGAATATTATAAATTGTATATAATAAACTTAAATCTATTACAAAGCAGAAGACCTATTTATAGGGTTACAAATAACTGTGAAAGGAAATAAACATAAAAAGAAATATTACGTAATCTACTACTAAAGAAAGTAAATATTATAATCGCAATATTTGACGATNNATAATCGCAATTTTTGACGATCTCTTTAATCTTATTCTATATTCTTGACAATGTTTATGTCTTTTAGTTGTTAGAGTAGATAAACTTATTTAATTATAATGAATAAATGCGTGGGTTATTTGCAGATATGAATGGAAATATGAACATAATCAAAAGTTTCTGTAACAACTTAATATGGTCATGGAGTCTTGTAAAATTTGCTTTTATATATTAAGAAAATAACTATCAAGACTCAGTTTTGGTTTCCTTCTATGACCTTTCATTTCTTAAAGAGGAATTCTATGGATGAACATGTTTCTCTGCTATAGATCTTTACAAAGAGTGCACAGGCATGTGGGCCTCATGCTTGGTCTCATACGTGAATCACAGAATGGCTTTTTAGTAAAATTTGGTATGGATTGCTACCATTGTAATGGCTAAAGTTGCAATATTTGTAGTTTTCATGGAGGTAATGGGATCCAAAGCAAAGGAGTGATTAGTTCAGAAGCTATATTACTCCTCGATCCTCTCATTTCTCTTCAATTTTGAGGCAACTATTTTTTCCTCTATGACTTCTTCACTAGATGTCACTTGGTGTAGATTTTCACCATTCACCAAGAGGTAACACTAAGAGAATGGTTGGTAACACGATATTTTTTATTTTTCCCTTTTTGTTATCAACATTTGGAAAACATTCACAGAAATGCATGTCTTGTAAACCTGTTTCGTTTAGATTTTATGATAACATATTTTGTAACAAGTGGACAACATGTGAACACTGAAAAGGTGCTTTGTAAAGTTTTCAAAACAAACCCAAGGTGCAAAGTAACTTCCAAAAGGTCACATTAATTTATAGTTTAAAATATGAGCTAAGTATATGAACCCTGCCTCTAACTAGTATTGGTTGGGTTTGTATAATCTATCAAATTCTGATAGAATGTGGAGGATACAAGTTTTAAAGAAGGGAGAACTGTTGGTTTTTTGAAATTTATATGTTAGTTTAAGTTCAATTGTTTTCTTGAGCATAAATAAGGAATGGTCATGTTTGCTGAGGATGCACAAACATTCTGTTGAATTTCTTAAGCTTTCAGTCTATCGAACCATACCCTTGCAGAGTGATTTGTTTACATCTTTTACTTTCTTGCTAAATGGGGTTCAATTAATTACTTTCTGAAAGTGAACTAGTTGTGTGGTGTGATGTGAATTTAAAAGCTACTTATAAATTTGAACTATTCAAGATAACCAAAGTAGTAGGGAGATGAAACAATAAAATATGGTAATTAAATAATATATCTTAGAAAAAAAGTCAAGTGCACAGAATATTTCTTGAAATAAACTAAAGCAGTGAGAACTTGATAATTTTCAAGGCAAAATTTGTTCTTTTATTTGTTGCAAGCATGCTTTCATCCGAATCTCTTATGGACATTCTGTTTACTTATCTGATTTCTTCATATTAATTTATTGCTTTAGATAGAGATTGCTATTCCACTATACAGAGTAAAAAATAATGGAGTGATCACATAATGTTCTTTCCAGATTTTTTCCGTCAATTTCCCTTTTTTAAATTGTGGACGATGTTTTATATGTATTTTGATTCAAAAACAATTATTTGGCAGGAGTCTGATTTGGAGATGAAGGTTGATCTAAAAGATCCATCAGCTGCTACGGTTGTTGTAGGCAGTATATATCTATCATGTTCAATTGAGGTGCAAATCTGTGTGATACACTGCTCTTTCTGCTGGTTATCAATACCATCTGCGTGCCTTACATAATATTTAACATTTTCAGGATCCAATAGAAACGGAGAAAAGTTTCGTGAGGCGCATCTTGTCTATAGTGGTATGTTGTAACTTTCATCTTCTTTTGGGATACTGGCATTCGGTATATCTACTACACTGGATCATTGCAATAGTTGAAGCTGTTGTATTGAAAATGAAAGCACTTTGATGTTGCACATAGAGGATAACTGCGTTGCTTGAAGGACATTTTTATTGTCTAAAATTTGGCTGGTTGGTTTGTATCGGTTTAAAGTCATATACCGTTTGGAATTTTTTTTCATGCACATGTCTACTTAATAAAGTTCATCTATCAAACTCGTCAAGGTAATCTGTATGTTCAAAGAAACCGTGGTTTTATCCATTCATATCAAAGGAAAAGAAATATCGAAACCTTTTTTTTTTTGCAAGACGTTTATATCAAAGGAAAAGGAAAATGAATGATCCTTATGTTCTGTTTAATTTTATCCAGATCACGGTCTTTATATGAAATCTTTGGATAAAATTAACAGTTAAAAGTCATACTTTTGTCCTGTGATGCAATATGTTATGGTGGTACACTACGGGAAATGTAATTCTACTTTATCAATGTTAAACAAAGGACAATATGCCTACTTAATGCTAATAAAGTAGTCATTGGGCTTTCACTTTCCAATTCAAAGAGAAAAAGGCTGGAATGGTAGGTATCAATTAGAATTATCTTATGATGAAAAGAGTTTAGTCATAAATACCTTCTTTGCATAGTTATCACTTTGTTTGTGGTCTTGGAATGGCATCTCATATATCATTTGCTTTATACAGGACTACAATGAAGACGGGAACCTTTCATTTGCTGAGTTCTCGGACTTAATTGATGCATTCGGCAATCAACTGGCAGCTAATAAGGTCTGCATTTCAAATTCACTTTCTTCAGCAATGATTGATACTTTTCTTATTCCCAGTCCAAGTAATATTTGTATTACTAGATTTGGATTTACCCACCGGATCACATCCTAGGGTATGAATTCTCTGAACTGTCTATTGTGTTTATAATATATCTCTGGAATATGTATCAACTTCTACGATTTATGGTGGAATACGAAATAGCTGCTTCAGAGGATTAGAAGATACAGTAACTGAATCCTGAATCCATCTCACATTCGTATCTTTTCCTATTCGTTGTTCTTACAAAACAATTTATATGTTTTACCAGAAAAAGGAGCTTTTCAAAGCAGCTGACGAGGACGGGAATGGTGTCGTAAGCATTGATGAGTTGGCTATGCTTTTGGTTGTTCAACAAGAGAAGTATGGCTCTCAAACATTTTACTTGAGGCTTGATTATAATAATGTATACATTTTTCTTATTTGCAGTTTGTTCTGCTTTCCTGTACTTCTCCACATAACTGGGTCTTTTATGGCTTAACAGTCTTTCTGATTTAATTCTGCTAGGGTCTTTTGAGGTTGATTTTCATATATATATATATATTGATATGTGAAGTTTGTGTTTTCTGTTTTTGTATATATTTTACGTAATTCAAAATTATAACTCATAATATTCTCAGCTTTAGCTTAAGTATGCTCTAGCTTTATCATGCTTAGCTTGAAGAATTTTCTTCTTGATGTAGTACATAATCATGATTAGTAGTGTCCTACTACAATTGTGATTTATCTTTTCTAGTTCTAATGAGCGTTA